CCCAATGCAAGAAAAATATAGCTGGTTTTCCAAGTAAAAACCGCCAAATAACGTTTACACATAGTTACGTTATGATATGTAACCATAGGGTGGGGAGAAGGGGGGATTCCCCCGCTCTATATGTCTCTGCATCTGCTAAATGATTTTTTTTTATTCCCAGTGAATAGGAGTTAAAACTCCCACCCGGGTAACACTACTCCAATAACAGACCATGCAAAATACCCAAAAAATATTTAAAATATTGCAAAGTAACGTTGCAACCTGGCAAACAATAATAAAATCAGAGAAGGACTTTAACTGTAAGCGACACAAGCATACGCAAAACAAAGGGAACATTGATGTTTGTTATTATTAAAATTTTATATAGCCCACTTTTTAATGCTTAGGCAATAACATTGACAATAACGTATATCTTCAACATGTGTTGTCTATGACCAAAAATGTAAGAAGATATGTTTTCGGTGGACTTTTAAAATTTGCTTTGCTTGAGAAAACAAAAATATATAGTTACAGTGTTTTTTTTCTTTTGATTTAGTCAAGTTGGTTTTGCATCAAACACAATGTGATTTTCGGCAATCGAGATCTGACAGCAACAGCGTGTTGTCTATGACCAAAAATGTAAGAAGATATGTTTTCGGTGGACTTTTAAAATTTGCTTTGCTTGAGAAAACAAAAATATACAGTTACAATTTTTTTTTCTTTTGATTTAGTCAAGTTGGTTTTGCATCAAACACAATGTGATTTTCGGCAATCGAAATCTGACAGCAACAGCGCATTTTTCCGCTTGGGCGAGCGCTTTGCGGACAGCTTACCTCGTGCATGAAATCACCTGCAGACCAGCAAATCACTGAGAACACGCTGTAATCCTGACGAGTCACAGCAACAGAGCGGAGGCGAGAAAGCTGTGGAGAATCCGCTCGCCTGGAAGCAACTGCAACTGGTAGATTTAAAGAAAATGACTGCCGTTTGGCAAATAAATCATTGTACTTACTTATTCCTGACTCTTTAAGCTTTAAGTTACATTTCAAATGACAAGGGATCAACTTATAATCATGTTTATATGAATTATCCCTTTAACTTATTCTCTCAAATGGCCTGAGTATGCGGAGCATTCACAGCTTATATGGACGGAACACCACTGATATATATATCAATTATTGTATATAACTAATTGAAGTATTACTGTTATTTTAAATGTTATTGTTAAATTTGCCAAGATTATGGCCTTTGGTGCTGATATGGTGTTAAATGCTAAATAAATAAACCACTATTTATTGCATTTTCTGCCCTAACACTTGTTTTATATTAGCAATGTGTAACCAATCTCTCATGCATCATTAGACTTGTGGATGATATCGAGAATTGTGAAATTTCACTGGTGTTGGTATCATGAGAATCCTTCATGTATATTTGTGTGTGTATATGTATTATCACTAATATTTGTTTCTAATATTTATTTTTATTGCATCATAACATAACATGACATATTCAACCTTATTTGGTGATAAATTTTTCACAGAAAGGGAAAAAAACAAAAATTATGATATTTTTATATGCACAGCAGTGTTATTTTAGTATCATTGAGATACTATTACAGTTTTTATTAATATTTTGAATCAGCTTTTTATTTTATTTTACAGTTTCATTTTAAAGTTACTTAATTTAAGTTTTAGTAATTTTGTTGTGTTATTTTGTCATGTTAGTTTTTCTTAATATTGATATGTTTACAGTTTTTATTAATTTTTATTTAATTTTTAGTTTTAGTAATTTTTAGTACTTCAAATTAAACTAAAATGAGAAATATTGCCCTGGCAACTAGTTAAAATAAAATATGCTTTATTACTATATTATTATTATTATGTTTTTGTTCATTTTTTTTATTTCTGGGCATCAGGTTTATTATAGATAACTAAAACTGAATTTTCAAAACGTTTCAAAAACGTTTATTTTATTTCAAGTAATTTTTTTTTTAATTTAACTTTGGTTTCAGTTTTAGTTTTAGTTAACTAGAATAACCTTGAGACATATATACATATTTATTAAAAACATGGCAAAAAAAAAACAACAACAAAATTACTAATACTTTAACTAAAATAGAAATGAAAAATATAATAAAAACTCATTCAAAATATGAATATTATTTTATGAATAGTATATTGATGATACCAAAACAACACACAGTTGTGCATTAATAAGTGGGGGGGGGGGGGGGGG